GCGTGACAGACACAGTGATGAAGCTGGTATTGGTTAAGACAGCTGACTCCACTGTGATGTGACCCCCTCTCTCTCTCTCTGTCTCTCTCTCGCTCTCTCTCTCTCTCGCTCGCTCGCGCGCGCACACACACACAATGCGCAAAACTCCGCATTTGAACAGTCAATAGCAAATACTTAAACTAGTAACAAAACATACTTACAGTCGCTGATTCAGAAGCGCCAGATTGTCATAGCAAAGTCAGAATTACCTCCTCTCCTAGGTTCATGAAACGGTCGTCCATAAAATGCATTGCTGTTCTGTTGTAAGTGATCTTAAAGATTCCTAAATGCATCTACTTTCGGAAGGCCAAATAAAGTGCTTTTGCTTTCGCCTAGAAACACACAGCGTCTCTCTGTCATGGCTGCTTCAACACTAACTGCGGTTACTGAAACCACGCCTTCTTTCTTTGCATGCACATTTGGGCGCATTATGCAAATATTCCCACATAGTGACCTAGATATCTCTTTGGTTTTGAGACTTTAGTCTTTGCAACTTCAGGGATCTTATCTATTCACGAACAGCTTGTAACACTCCAAAGAGAAAGGAAAACTTGAAATCGCATCATATGACCCCTTTAAACTCTAGATGTCTGATTGGCTGACTTTCTACTCACAAAATGCTTCCCTAATGCTGAGGAGCTGTTCAAAAGAGAAGTGCTTCTCCTAGAGGTTTAGTGGATTCTCACATGCTAATTGCAAAATGTGTTCTTCTGTTATTGAACCTGAAATTCATTATTCATTTAAACTCATTATTCATTATAAAATGTTACCATTCAACATTAAATTGAATTACTTGTTTCAGCTTAATGTTAGTCTGTATTTAAATGTTTTCTGTGTTGATGATAATTGTTTTTGTGTACAAGGCTTGCAGCAACATTTTGTGTTGACTGAATGCACAATGTACACAGAGAGGAGATCAAGGTGCTGGTAATCAGAGAAGAGTTCAAATCTAGGTTAGATATTAGTATTTGCACACTTTTAGGACACACTTAAAATGTCTGCATTTCAAAATTTGGCTGTAAAATATCAAACCAAGTGGCATCTGTAAACAAATGGTGCATTTTCTCAGAAATAACTCTACTTTTTTGAGCCCGTTTGCATTCACTTTTAACTTACCCATTACAAAGTCGTATTTAGTGAAAGTTTGTTCTCCTCAAGTTGACACAGGTGTTCTAACAATAACCACAACTGTACTTCATATCATTACCAATAAACATACTGCTCATTAAACATTTTAAATTATTATCAATGTTGAAAACAGCTGTGCTGCTTGAATTTTTTGTGGAAACTGATAAATTTTTAGGATACTTTGATGAATTGAAAGTTAAAATAATTTATTTGAAAAATAAACCTTTTAGAATGTTATAAATGTTTTTTTCAGCCATTTTCAATTTAATTCATTCTTGTTGAATAGAAGTTAATTTCTTTAAAAAAAAAAAAAACTACTTACTGACCCCAAACTTTTGAACAGCAGCTTATAATGCAAAGCCATTTTCAATTTAATGCATCCTTTCAAAAAAAAAAATGTTACTGACCCTAAACTTTTGAACAGCAGTGTATAACACAAAAATATTTTATAAGTTTTTAGATGTGACTTAAGTGTCAAACTGTGTATATCAGAGTATGAAGGTTTAAGCTTTACAGTGCACCAGCTTTTGACTCTCTATGAAAAATGTCTAGACATTCGAAGACCTTTGCAACACAAACAGGTTTGCAAGCAGTCTCTGCACAAACATGATTGACCTCAGTTTACCACGGGTGTTGGAAGCATGATATATCTCTCTCCTTTTTTGGAGTCGGTATCATAAAACTCAGTTTTCTCTCCTCACACACACACACACACACACACACACACACACACACACTCGGTTTGGCAGAATGTAGATCCGTCCCCCTCCAGCAGCCTGCTCTGCTGACCCAGGCTTTTCCACTGCCCTTGTGAAATAGGAGCGGCAGAGACGATCGGGTCTCACCAGCCAAAACTGAATGCCAACACAAAGCAAAAAGACTCTCATATGCTGCTTCTGGCAGAAGCCCACTTTAATCTCTATTTGAACAGTCCAGTGAAGAGTTAAAATCCCCTTTCGACCAGCAAAACTGCAGCACATGCAGTTTTTCCCTGTGCACATGTATAGTTGTTTACACAAGGTTTTGTGCTTGTTTCACCATAACACACTGTTTGCTTGCTTGTGCAACTGGGGTGACTGAATGTCACCTTTGAACTTTGCATATAGTCTTCTGACTAAATCAATCAGAACAGGAAAGGTTG